AATTACGCTCCTTGAAGCAGGCTTTGTTTCTCCCTCAGACTATGTTATTCTTATACCAGATAACCAGCCCAAGGCTGGGAAGGAAATTTACAAAATTCTGGGACCCTGACCCAAATCCCACTTGGCGCCATAATGTTTGCTCAACTCGGACCCTAAGCAGTTCGGTGTTCCTGCCATTGTCATCTTTAAACAACATCTGTTCTATGTAAGCTTAAACTACTGATGTAATTAGATTACCTATACATTCCTGCTACCTATTCCCTGCCTGGAACCCTCTCTACAAAAGCCATTAAGCACCGGGGCTCGGGGCATTCTCCTTTAGAGAGAATTGCCTTCCCCTTTCCTTGACAGGGAAACGGTGTCTGGAACAACTCATTATTTCATCCATGGCGAATCGGAGGACTCGCAAAATAATACACATAGACACACAACTGGAAAGACTCACACACTATTTGCTTTCCTTGAGACAATGAATGCCTTCTCCACCCCTTCCCTGAGGTAATGCATATAAATGTGAAGAGCAAGGCAAAGGAGGGAAGAGAAATGAGAGGCATCAGGAAATATGGTTACTATTTCAAAGACATTGTCCCATGTATGTTGTATTTTCTCACCTGTTGCCTTAAAATGTACACCATGTCATTCCAGTACCTCCTTTGTGTGTATATTACCTTTTGTATATAAACTACAAGGAACAAGCATATAGAAAGAAATTTAAAAGGCAGACAGGTTTAATCACTGAATTCTGGTCAATACAACAACAATAAAAAAAGATTCTTCACACTCAACACATATGCCTGAGATACCTGTAGAGGTTCATGTAAAACAATCCTGGAGATTATAATTTCAGTTCTACAAAAGTGTACAGGACTTTATTCTGTGTATTTACCAACTTATCACCTTGATACAATTGGGGGGAAAAACACACTGGTTGAACCTGAGGCTAAGAGAAGGTATTTTAGCTTCTAAAACCTCATGTGTGGAGAATCTGAATCTTAGATCATTTCAGTTTCTTTTAAAAGCCTGAGCACACACAAACAGGCTTTTGGTGCTACCCTGAGCATTAGTACTGATTTCAGTTCCTGTTTTATTCACATATTCTCAGGTCATTAACCATGAATCATTTTTCTTTTGGCTACAGAACTCTACAATAGCACAAGAGGTTGATAGAAACCTGCTTAATGTTTACAACTATTTGGGGGAAGTTATTCACTTTCCTATAATGTTATTTACATGTTATGTTGCTATGTTGGTAGACTACAATATATGAAAGCATTAACCCTTCTCCTCCACCAAAATTCAGCCTCAAATATGCATTTTTCTTTCCCTGAGCACCTCAGCTCTAGCACACAGCGACAGTTGTGCGTACGCCAAGCCACCCTACCCCGATTCAGGGATGCCACGGGGTCCAAACACCCAGAACTGAAATAAAGCAGCCATTCCCCTTTCCAGTCAAACTTGCGCCTGACCTCCAGATGCTATTTAGCCCACCAAGTGATCAACTTACTGTTCCTTTTCCATGGATGGGGCCACTTTGATTTGTGTATCTGACCTTAGTTACTCCACTCGCCTTTTATTTTGCCAATATAGTCAATTATGTGCACTCATAGTCACAGTCTGCCTTATAGGTTTACAGCAAAGTTGAACATTCTTTTAATTTGTCCTCTTTTTAAAACTGAGAACTGTCTGATTAAGAAATATGCTGGCTTACAGTCATTTTTTCTTTAGCAATTCAGACAGTCCTTTGGCACTGTGTACTGCCTCAAATGACCATCATAAATATTCATTAATGTTGGGGTGACTTGTGAAAACACTAGCTTAATATAATGTTATGCAAAACATTCCAAATAAGCCCCCTTTTTAAACCACTTTAAAAAAAAAAAAGTAGTATATAAGCACTAACACAGATGGAGCTTTACTCTGAGCCAGGCATCATGTTAACACAGATCATCCCATTTGATCCCCACAATTGTCCCATGAGGGGCAATTATTGTCTCACTTTGATTCCCCTGTAAAAAGCTTGAGACAAAGGCTTTATGTGGTGCTGTTTTAGGGAGGTGATCCCTTAAGGCATGAATGAAGGCTAGAGAAACCGAGAAAGGGAAGGAAGAAGTTAATAAAAGGGTTCATTATTGAGACACCATTGTAGGCAACAGGGACTTAATTCTTTTTGACTTCCTGAGATATGGACAAATGCCTATCACGATTGTCCAGCAGGACAGGAGGGAGGAACATTTATCCACTGGTTCCCATGCCCCACTGTTCAAGGGTTAACCAGGAGCTAATGAGCTCTCACAGGGAAGAAAGCAGAGGAGCTAGGCCTCGAGTGCTCCCCAGGGAAGAGACTGGGTGCAGCCAGCAATGGCCCACTGAAGACATGGCTCAGATCACAGGTGAAGTACGTGAGCAGGGGCAAAAGACTTATGACACAGTGATTATCTTTCCAATGTACAGAGGGGAAGCCAAGATACATAGAAATTACCTCACCTGCTCAAGGTCATAAGGTTGGTCAGTGGTAGAACCAGGTCTCAAACATGGGCCATCTGGCCTCAAAGCCCGTGGTCCTAACCATGTGCTATCAGCCCCACCACGTGCGGGAAGATGACGGCTGCACCCCACTCTCCCCTGGAGAAGAAGCAATCTTTCCACCAATTCAATCTGGAACCCATGTTTGCGACGTTCATTTAAACGCTGCATTTTCTCCTTTGGGAAGTCATTTTTAAATTTGCAACAGTGCAAGAAAATGCCACTGCGATGCTGCATCTGTATTTATGGGGAAAATGAATACCTTTCATTTAAGACCATGTAGGAAATCAGGGATTTATATAGCATATATATACCACTTGAGGGAAAAAACAAACACAAAGCTCATATAATCTTTTTTGAGTTCAGAAACTGCTTTTCAATTTTTTATTAAAATGTAATTCTTCAAAGGGTGTAGAAATACACCTGGCAATGACTGCTAGGTGTCAACCATCTGCTTCAAACATACAGAAGAAACACCTACCAAATTCTGCCTCATCAGAATTTATTACGTTGTACATAAATCAGAACATTATCAGAACAACACCAAAGTGGCTACATTTGACAGATTCTTCTAAAGCAGTCAGTTTTCTGACAGATTATGTTTCCCCTTGATGAAAGTTATAACAATTGTGAAGGTTTTGAAAGATAAGCTTGAAGGGCCACACAATAACTGTCAGGGCAAGAAGGTAGAGGTGGCATGCGCAAAGGGCCTGGGAGGCAAGGGGCACCGGGGGAGGGTGTGGCTATCCCCGGTTTCCACGGGGAGCACACAGCACTTTGAGGAGACAAAACACACAGAGGAAGGCATTCCCCCTGCAGGGGAAGGGTCTTTGGGTTCACATTCAGGAACTATAAGACATCACACCCAGGAGAAGACAGGAAAAGGACACTCCCTACACATAGTGTCAGCTTCCTCCGAAGGACAAGGACCAGTGTGGTTCAAGGAAAGGACACGTGAAGACCACGCCTTCAGGATGTGGAAGTGTGCGGTAAGAAGGCCTTCTTCCCTTCAAGCTCACGCAAGGCACTGGATGGTCTCCCTTACTTACTATTAACAAAAACAAAACCCCTAGAGAGAAGAGCAGTGCTGACACTTGATTTGCACTCAGTAAGGGTAAAGTGTCATTTCTGGTTTTTAATTCAGTCTGGTGAAATACAGAGTGGCCTTGAGTTGCCTGTGAGAACCCCCAGGGTCTAATCACTCGAGGACATTGTCCTCCCTCTTCTGCCAACTCTGGCTCTGGCTAAAACTTCACTGGGGAAAGAGGAAGTGGAGAGCTCACCTGGGCTATGTGTTGCCTTGGCATTCTACGATTCTTTCTTCCTGTTGTTTCTCCTTTGTGTCCAAAATGAAGGCAGGACCACAGTAGCACAGGCTGAAAATGAGACTGGCCAGCCTGTGTCTGGAGTCCTCCTCAAAAGAGAGCCATTTTTGTCAGCCTTTTCTCACTCTTCTGGGCAGAAGCATCTTTCCTCATCAAGTAGTTTTAGCTTGATGTTTCCAGGGGACCCACTTTACACTAACTTTGCTTTTTAAAATTACCTCTGAATTCCAACAATTTGCATAAGATCATTTTTTTCAATATATTTTACTCCTAATGACTGCTACCTAGCATCTTTCAGGTGAAATCAAATGGGAAGAGAAAAGACTACAGTGTGTGGACATTTTAGTCATTCTTTTCCACCTTTAAGTTTCTCTGTCATTTGTGAAAAACAAAACGAAACATAATTTAAGGGGGAAAGACACAGTAAAGAGCTTGCAGTGTTTTCCAACCAAAACTGTAGGTACGTCTTTCTGAGGCCTCAGGGAGGCCCCCAGAATGTTAGCATAACCAAGGAGAGGACACCTCCCTCACCCTCAGGCACATTATTGCCAGGCCTGTCAAATGGGGGCAGAAGAGCCTTTCCTTATCCATAACCCAGTGAGGGGGATGACAGGCATCAGGAGAAACTGCCAGACATATGAAAAAGTGTCAAATGTCAAGTGTCTATCTTTCCTAAAGATGCAGATTGATGTTAAACATTTTTAATGTATTTGTCATAGTTAAGTCCATCAAATAGGCATTTTTTGTGTGTGGCCACATCACTCCACAGTTATCTTGGGCTTCCTTTGGAGTGGTCCTGTTCCCTCTGAGCTCACGGATGCTATTCTCTCCATGTATTTTCTGCTGGACCCAGAGAACTGAGGATCCTCAGAAAATACAAATGGGGTAATAACTCCAAGACACAATCCACAATGCCCAGCTTTTGTCTCCACAGAGAGGACATGGGCCACTAAGAATAATATATATATGCTCCCTCAATAAAGAAAACATGCGATTTTACGTAGATTTCTCTCTCAATCAGAAGCCTTTGAAGCCAGACAGGAAGTCAACCCACTCTGGGTTGCAATGAGTTCATACCAATCACAGGGCCAGAGTGAAGGGCGGGCCAGAGTGCGGAAGCTCCCTGCTGCATTCGGGGATGTTCAACTTTTCCTAGGAGTCCACCTTTGGAAAAATGCTCACTTTATTGTTTCTGCTTATCTTCCGCTCCACCCTGCCTACCTTGGGCATCTTGGTCTGGATCAGCTCTTCTGGGGTGTTACCCAAGGGGGGAAGCAGCCGCTTTTTACTGTTTCGGGTCTCTGAGAGCCACTGGGGAGGCAACTCAAAAGGACCAAAACCAAATTGCAGGGAATACTTGCCAGAGAATGTCTCAAGTTCCACAGGGGCTGCTGGTGCCACCTGGGATATAGAGTCCACTGTGCCCGGGGGTGGCACAGGGGGTACAAGCTGTGGCCCCCGCTCTCCCTCCAGGCAGGCACTGGGTACCTCCTTGGCCTGAAGGTCAGCAGAGCTCGTGTACTTGGCTTCACTCTCTTCCTCATCCTCCGTGGGCTTAAAGATCTGCTGCTGCCCAATGTGGAACATCTCCAGGAGCTGGCTTCCTGAGCGCATGCTGGGCTCCAGGCTGGCATCAGCCAGCCCGCTCCCTGTACTCACCACATTACGGCGACTGTACCTGTGGTGGAGCTGTACCAGGGTCCCTACCAAGCACTTGCGAACAGATTTGTTCACAGTAAGAAAGAGCACAGGGTTCGCTAGCAGAGAGACTTTGGGCAGCCAAATGGCAGTGAGCAGCAAGAAGATGGAAGTGTTAGGGACATTGAGTACAGTCTGGTAGACAACCAGCGTAGCGTAGGGCACGCTACATAAGATGAAGACCATCACCATTGAGAGGAGGGTGGCGTGCAGCTCAGCTTCCCGCTGGGAGGCGTAGGGAATAGAGATGGTGTTCTGCGGGGTCCGCAGGGCTGCTATTATGACCTTCTTCTTCTGGCTGGCACTCAGGGCCCGTCGAATCAATATCAAGAAGAGGAAGACTACAGCCACAGGGACGATGACCGTGGTGATGTTATAGATCAGAACGTATACCAGGTGGCCCAAGGAGTTGCTCCACACTTCAGTGCAGGTGGACATGGCATAGATGTCTGCCACATTGGTCACTGCAAACACTGGAACACTGGCCACCACTGCATGGGCCCAGATGTATATCACCAGCTCACGGGACTTGGCATCAGATATTTTTCTCTCCAGTGGATAGAGAACTGAGTAGTACCTGCAAAATGCACATGCAAAAGTCACTTCACAGGAGAAGATGTGCTTTAAATTAGGGGAATCTATATTACCAAAAGTAGGAGAGATTGGAAAAAGGGTCGAGTTCTTTTATTCTGCCTAAGAAAGATGGAACCACTGGGGAAATTAGGTAGCCAGACCTTAAGTTTTGAGGACTTTGCTGCACAATTCATGACTACTTTTATTATTATTGCCACCAGGATTAAATCGCAAAGAGTGCTCTCAGTATAAAGGATGTCTCCATCTGCTGTAAAGACATCTACTTTACAGTGTAATGGTAATTTGAAAAAAAATTTTACATGGGTTACAAAACATTTAGGGCAAATTTCAAAGCCACTAACAGAAAGGAATTTGCACACATTTCCAAAGCAATATATGTATGGAGATATTAAATTTATACCCGCTCAGAGCAGAACCCAATATGAAGGATAGATTCTGACAAAGTGCATCCACAAAATTTATTGACAAAAATTATGCCTGATTGCCCTGGCCAGTATGGCTCAGCTGGTTGGAGCATCATCCCTTAACCAAAAGGTTGCAGGTTCAATTCCCGGTCAGGGCACATACCTAGGTTGCAGGTTCAATCCCCAACTCCCTATCCCCCTTCCGGGCCTGGATGCTACCATCCTGGTTCCAGGTGCATACAGAAGGCAACCAATTGATGCTTCTCTCTCCCATCAATGTTTCTCTCTCTCCCTCCTCATCTCCCTCTTTCTCTGAAAGCAATGAAAAAAAAAGTCCTTAGGAGAGGATAAAATATTTTTTAATTGTTCCAGTGATAATCATTTAGTAACCCTAAGAGCAATTAACAGGTCTAAAATGCCTGCACAATAAAATTTTTTTTCCTTCAAGTTTAACTTGATTTTTCTACAACCACCTAATCAGAATTCCAAGAGCACCCTGTTTCCCTATCAGCAATGATCTAGTGGAAATGAATAGTTCTTCAGACCCTAGCGCCACATCCATCAGGAAAGGGCTGCCATGAGCCCTCAGCGATACAGTGATTATCAGAGATGAGCTCCGCCCACTTCACTTCAGTCAGCTACTGTTGGAGTATGTGCCCCAAGCCAGGTAAGCATGCATGCTTCCCTGTCACAAGGATTTCTGAGCACCACCTATGTGCCTGGCACTCAGTTACAAAGAAGGAAAGACATACAGGAATGTTTCTAAAGTTAATGGAGAAAAACGCATGCAAACAAACATTTATAAATGAGGAGATGATGGCTCTATTAGAGGTATGCACAAAGGAGGTATGGGAAAGGGAGCACCTGGGAAAATGTCAAGAGAAGGTGGCACTGTGGTGGAGTCTGGCAGGGGACAAGCTGGGGGAGAATGTTCCAGCTGAGGGAGACACGATGAAAACACAAGACCACGGATGATCAGAGATGTATGGAGCACGATGTATTCTAGATCTCTTTCTGGGAGGGGGAAAAAGGAGAAAAATGCATAAGTTATGCATGCTCTCAAGTTTACTTCTCTGAATATAGATAGTGTTTTCTAACCACAACTCTATAAATCCAATGTGATGGCCTGGCACCCACACATGAATACATGCTCAGGAGTCCACTGTCTGATTCCTCTTTGCTAACTGGCAGATAATAAACCCAGGCTTCCAATCATATTTGCTTCTGTTATGTATTGGTAAATAGACTGCAACACAAGCACATAGGCTTGTTATAAATAATTTTGTTAGTGTGTACATCTCTAGAAAATAATGCAGGAAGTGTACCGCCTCACTTGCTGACTCGGTGCCATGAAACAAATATCTGAGAAAGATTTAAGAGGAAGGACTGTCTTCCCTTCATGCACACCATAGTTAAGCTAACGGGTAATTTGTATCTCTGAATAATAAAATAGGAACCTACCAGCCTTATTTTTCTACTAAAAGTACTTATTTACCCTTAAAAATAATAATGGCAAATACACAGTAGATTTTCTGATGGAAAAAATAAGTATTTCTTATTGTTAGCATATTTTCCCCTTTAAGCCAAAGGGCCTAGAAATAACTCACTGTTATTATTGCATTGACTCCAGATATAATAGAAAAGTGTTCAAAATGATGTGTTCCCACTCTTGTTGAATCTTAGTCTTAAAAAACTTTCAGGATTCATATCCACATTATTCACAATAGCCAAAAAATGGAAACAGCCCAACTGTCCATCAGCTAGTAAATGGATAAACAAAATCTGATATAGCCACATAATGAAGTATTATTCAGCATTAAAAAAAGAAGAAGCTGTTAATAGAGTAGATCCTAAGAGTCCTCATTACAAAAAAAAAAAATTCCTTTTTTTGTATCTATGAGATGATGGATGTTAACTTACTGTAGCAATCATTTCACAATGTATGTAAGACCTTTATGCTGTATACCTTAAATTTATACAGTGCTGTATGTCAATTATATCTCAATAACACTAGAAGAAAAAAGGAATCAATTACTGATAATGTTACAACATAAATGAGCCTTGAAAACATGCTGAGCTAAAGAAGCCAGACACAAAAGAAAACATATTGTGTGATTCCACTTACACGAAAGGTCCAAAATTAGCAGACAAACAGACAGAAAGTAGATTAGTGGCTGCTTAGGTCTGGGCAGGGAATGGAGAGTGAATGTAATGAGGAGGAGGCTTCTTTTTAGGGTAATGAATTAGTTCTAAAGTTCAATTGTGGTGATCGCTGCACAACTCTATAAAGACACTAAAATTCATTGGCTTGTATACTTAAAATAGGTGAATTTTATGATACATAAATTATATCTCAAGAAAATGTTTTAAAACTTTCAGAAAAGAAAAATACACAATGTGGACTGAAGACCTCACTAAGCAGGTAGTACAGGGGCAGTTGAAAGGACACCTGCTATAAACATAGGGTGGTACAACACAAAATTCATCAGGGGACCCACCAGGATGTAATTTGACTTTTCATTGTTATATGCCAGTGCTGTGCAATGGCTCTTTCCAGATATTCAAAGGCCTCTTGCGGAGTACGGAAGAGGCATGCAAAGTTACTGTAAAGCAGCCATAGCAAACTGGCATCACATGGTGCACATTCAGCTGGCTGAAGGAATTTGAGTGGTCCACATGATATTTTTGAATGCAAATTAATTGCGAACATTTAAAAATGATAGTATATATACTCTGGTTTCTCTTCAGAACAAATAAATCTCTCACCTTTTAAAAATGATAGAATTCTAGATTTCTGATTTCTCTTCTAAGAAAATAAGAGTCCTGCCAACTAAATCTAGATACCCACAAAGCAACTGTAGTTGCAGCTGCTAAGTGACTGACCCTAATGAACACAAATGCAGACACAACCCCAGCCCTGCCTGAGTTCACTTGCATTTGTCACCTGCCTCGTCTGCCCCTGTGGATGGTGAGTTTCTAGTGAGAAAATTCCAAAGAGCTAGAGTGGTTCACAGCAAGATCTAATGGTCATATGATTGCAGACAATATATCTAAGGGAAAATACGCCAAACAGAAGCAAAGCCTACAGAAAGAGAAGCAAATACTGATGGGACCTATCCAAGCGGAGGCCACAAACAATTCATTTAGCTCTCCTTACTGCTGAGGAAACTGAGGCTCAAAAAGGTTAAGCCACTTTGCGCATGGCCACCCACCCAGAAAGGAATGTCGGTAGACTTCTGGCTCCAGAGACCCCTCTCTGAAGCCAACAACTTCTAGTATGCAAGGGCTTTGTGTGACTGTGTCCCTCCATGTGGATGACACTAGTCAGCTAATGAAATCAGGGTTCCAGGACTGAGAGGCTGAAGTGACTCCACAAACTAGTTCCACAATCCATACCCTCACAGGTCTTTAGGGTATTAAGTATGTCTTGCATGGACAAAGAGTTTAAAAATTCCAAATTCATCTAAAATGCAGTTAAATTTATCACAGAGCATAAAGTCAGAAGAGCCAGCATTATCCCTTCAGCAACATTAACTCTTTGCAAATCTTGAAATCAAAACTACTCGTGGACACAAAATACTTTTCATTTCTTGTTTGCTTATTTAATTCTATTCTCTAAAATGCATTATCATCTCAAATGTATTCAGGGTATGCTAGCAACAAAGGGAAAAGGCAGGAAGCTGTTGATTACTGAGATTTTTACATGTAATTTTGATAAATTTGATCAAATTACCTATGATGGTAGTAGCTAAGACATAAGATTCATTTCCAAATGAATATCCTCTTAAAGAGAATGAGAAAAGAAAACAACAACCGTCACAATATAAGGCCTTGGAAATAAATCCTCCACAGGAATTCTGGTATTATCTACTCAAGTCCAACTGGATTATCTCATCATGTGTTAAATAACCACTGGATTGTTTTCTTGTTCTTCCAGGAATGTTTTCATCCTAAAACAAAAAGCCCTAATTGTAGAGTTATCAATCAGATGAGCCGATCTACTGCAAATTGCAACACAAATACCACCAATTCCAACGGAGCTGAAGCTACACCATGACCCAGTAGCTCTGCCCGAGCATCCTCGTGAGGTGACCCACAGTGTCACATCTTTTCTCAATGATGTCCTATTCTCTGTAGCTGCTGTTAAATCAGCCTGACAATTCATTCTCTTTCTGTTGGCCACAAGCTGACTACAACATGGATTGACAATTTTCCGTTTGCTTCATGATGCTAACATTTCAATCCACTTAAAAAAAAATTGATCTCCTAGCTACTTGATCTTACCTGTCCAAGGCAATGGCAGGGAAACTAAGGATAGTCACAGAGCAGAAGACTTTGTGCAAAAATTTGACGACTTTGCAGAAGAGCATGGTGTAGATCCACCAGCAACAGTGAGGACTGGCGCTGAGGATGATGTCGAAGGGCACACAGACCAGGCTGGCACAAATCCCCGAGCAGGCCAGGTTTTTAATGAACCTGTTGGTGACAGATTTGAACACGGTTGTGCGGCAAGTTGACCATAACACCATGAAGTTTCCTGGCCAGATATGCAAAATAAATAAATAAAAAGTAAATAAAAATAAATTTTAAATAAAAAAAAGAAGACAGAAAAGAAAAGAAAATACAGGTTAAAAAAGATTAAAAAACTACATTTCAGAGTTGATTTCAAAGGATTTAATTTAAATACATATTATGTTGCCCATTTATGTGAAATTATTAAATCACTTTTGTAATCTCAAAAAGTCTAGAAGAATTTTTAGTGGTGAGTTTTGTTACTTAATTTAGGCATATCCTGCTGTTGCCCTTCAAAACTTATCATAATTATTAATTTGTTTACTAGGATTATGATGCTGATTCAGTCTCCTCTGTGTATAAACAATTTGTTAGATATTACTTAATCGCAGGCAGTCTACTCCCACCAAGTTTACAAATGACTTCCACGTTGCCAGACTCTGCAACAGAAATAGGATGCAAGCCACAAATGCAATTTTAAACTTTCTAGTAGCCATATTGTTGAAAAATGAAAAACAGCTGAAATTTTAACAGCATATTTTAACTCAATATATCTCAAATATTATCATTTCAACATGTAATCATTACTTTAGAAAGTAATAATGAAATATTTTTCATTCTTGTTTTTGTACTCAGTCTTTGAAATCTGGTATGAATTTTTTTAATTGAAATATAATTGACACATACCATTGTATTCATTTTAGGTATTCATGGTCTACATTTTGTTTTATACTTATAGCACATTTAAATTTGCACTAGTCATATTTCAAGTGCTCAATAGCCACATGCAGCTAGTGGCTACTATATACAGGACCGCATCGTTTTAGACCTTTAACAGAAGTGACTCATTTGACTAGCTCTCTTTGCGCATTCTCCTCTCTTGGCTTCTACAGACCTATAGTCCCCTGGTTTTCCTCCTGCCTTCCCAATTCTCCTGAGTCCTGGCCACTCCTTTCTTTACCAGGCCCTAATCTATCCTCCTCCTACACCCAATCCACTGAGCCACACCAGCCTGGGTGCTTTTTTATTTCATTTTATTTTATTTTATTTATTTTTAGAGAGAAGGAAAGGGAAGGAGAAAGACAGGGAGAGAAACTTCAATGTCTGGTTGCCTCTCACATGCCCCCTACTGGGGATCTGGCCTGCAACCCAGGCATGTGCCCTAGACTGGGAGTTGAACTGGTGACCCTTTGCTTCGCAGGCCAGCACTCAGTCCACTGAGCCACACTAGCCAGGGCCCAAGATTAGATTATCCATTTGAATGGCTCTCTGTTGAAATGCTGGTGACTCCCACATTCTTGTCCCACATCAGGCCTCTCCTCTCAACTCCAAACTCCTATTTCCAACTAAATATCTGAGTCCCCACCTCTCTCAGTCTGTTATGCATCCCCTTAGTCCTCAAGAGCCTAGGCGATCTAGGTGCCTACCTGCCTAGTCTTACTCCTCTCTTCTTCCCCTGGCTCACTAGGCACCAGCCACCCTGGCCTTTTTCCTCTTTAAACAGAATGAAGGTTGATCCTGTCTCAGTGCCTTTGCACAAGTCTTTTATACTGCTTAACATGCTCCTCGTATGTCTGATTTCTTTTTAATCTAAGTCTTAATGTAATTGCTGCCTCTTCAAAGAGGACCTTCTCTAACCATCTTTCTATTTTAAAAACTCACTGCTCCTCCCTCCATTGTAGTCTATTATAATATCCTACTGTGGCCTTTATAGCTCTAATCATAATTATTAATTTGTTTCCCCTCCATTTCATGAGGATAAAAACCATGTCAATCTTGTTCACTATTATAACTCCACTGCCTTGCTCAGTATCTGACATACAATAGGCATTCTATAAATATTTGTTGAATAAATGAATTTGTAAGATAAGGGGACAAACAGTAATCAAAAGTCCCTGCAGTAAGATGACCCCTTTTGTAGTAGGTACATCATGTGAGGATATTGTCATTCAGTAGTTTCCCAAACCTTACTGTGTATCAGAATTACTATACCAGACATTCTGAATCACAGTTAACAGGTATGGAACTGGGAAACTGCATTTGTAACAAGCATGCCAGGCACAGTTAGGCAGCAGGCCCCCGGACTAAAGTTTCGGAAACATCTCCTCTAAACAGAGTTTATCCCATCACCACTTACCACCCTCAAGGCTCTCAGGGACTAAGCCGTCGGGCATTCAGGGCAACCTTCTCTACTGGCGGAGCTTTCGCCTAGTGAGGGAGCCAGATCCATTCAGCCAATCAGTCACGGCCCCAAGATACTGCTACCTCCTGCGTTCACACACAGAGAATGCCCTCCAATGAACTGAGCCAACAGCTTGGCCTCACTCAGCAGGAGAGTGATGGCAGCAGGAGAGGGACAGCAGGATTCAAGGCTGTAGCCCGTCACTCCGAGGAGCTGCCTCAGCTGCTGACACAACTTACTGTCAAGGGTCTCTCTTCAAACACAATATTCTATAGCTACCTCTTCTCTGCCTGACAAAGTAGAAAAAACAGCCACTGTATTAAGGTAAATAGGCCATCTATTTCCGAACTTTCCTTACATTAGTAGCTGTCTCACTGAGATGAAACCAGCTGTGTGAATATATACATATACGCATTTATTCAGCGGAAAGACTGTTCATACTAAGGCCACCACCTCCGGCCCCTCAAGCTTTCCTGTCACCAAGGTGATAGACTAAGCAATAATAATGTATGTGAAGCTCTGGTGACTTGGGGAATTCTTTCTCCTAGCCTTTACCACCGAAGCAAAAATTAGAATCTGGCTGAAGCATCTTCTCTCATGTGAGTTTACATACAGGGTTTAAGTTCTGGTAACCGTCTAAAAAGGAAATAGCCTACTAAAAGAAATTTGCCACAAAGAGTGTGTACAGGTCATAGTATCTTCAGTTGTCAAAATCAGGGGCGTCTCCAGTCCACTGGGGAACTTTTCATAAAGACAGTTTTTCTTTGCTATAAATCAAGACCCACAAGGAGTTTCTTTTTCTTTCATCACTGTCAATCGCTGTAGTTTGGTAGGTTATGCTGAACAAAACATTTTGAGTATCCAAACAAACAGGAAAATTCATTACTAAGGAAGGGGCAGGCTGAGCAGCGTCTCTCATGCACATAGCAGATTCTGTTGAAATTTAAACTGACTTCCATCATTACACTCTTCTCTTCTCTCTTTCCCTTCCCCTCTCTATTATGTCAAGCATACTTTTTCAATGCTTCAAAAAAGATCACACATCTTATTAGGATGTCCACACTTGCGAGGAAGGAAACTTGTTTTCTATAGTAATTATTAAAATACCTGAGACTCCTAAATTCACATTTTATCTGCAATTATTTATAAAACTCTAGGTGGCACCTAGACCCTAATCCCTTTTGCTATTAAGAACCTGAAGCTACTGACTTCCAGGCAAGATAGAGGCATCGGTAAACATGGCTTGCTTCTTTGTACAGCCACCCCAAAAGTTGCAACTAAATTACAAAACAACTATCACCCAGAATCATCAAGAATCTGAATCTAAGTAAAGAAGGCTATGTTCTTTCCATTCTCTAAACCACTCCTCTCTCTTCTCACTTAAAAACAGACTCATTTGACTCTAAAAACCTAAATTAGACCCAAATATCTGGAGAGGAGCACCCACACTCAATATCTGATTAGCCACATGTTAAAAAAGTATGTGTCTGTAGACACATATGTGTAAGCATATGAGCACACATACACATACATACACACAAATATACACATAACAAAGCAAGATGATCCTATATTTGATGTTTTAATCTCAGTAGCACATTATATTCTCCTTAGTTTTACAAGGCACTGAGGTTCAATATATATTTTAAGTAACACAGTAATCGACCTCAAGATACTTTTTATTTTTGAGATCATGTTCTAAATCATCTAAGAAATGATTCAAGTTCTTCCCATTCTTTCTCCCTTTACATTCCTGTTGTACCTTCTAATGCTGGATTCCGTGACAACAGTCCATGCCAGAGGTTGGGCAGAACAACCCAGTTAGCGCACACTCACAGCTCACACACCCAGAAGGGGAATAAGAGGGAGAGGGTGATGGCGTTGGTCCGAATCTGCTCTGCGGGGACCACTGTTCCTCTATCATACCTCCTCATCTAACATACAAATAACTATTTCTCTTTACACAGTATACTTGATATTCAAAGATGATTAATGTCCAAGACAGAAACATTTTAATTAACAGCAAATAACAGATAGTATCTGACAGACCTTGAGGAACTAAGCAGGCAAATTTTCTCCAACTAAATTTACCTCTGGAAAATTTTGACTGTAGCTGTTTTGTTGTTTTGTTTTTTTTTAAACTGGTTTATAGGCTTTGCATCTTTGAAAGCAACAATCCTGGGGTGTTAAAAAGACTAATAACCAAAATGAAATATTCTAAAAATGCCTTGGAAAGTTGAGTGCTTTGAGAATCCTCCTGAGAAAATAGATACACTACCCTTTAAAAACTACCAGCTTCCCCAGAGACCTAAAGCAGTTTTTAAAAAATTCATGCCCATGCTTTTATAGAAAGATAAACATACATCCCAGAACATTCTAAAAAGTGAAATTTGAAAAAAGCAAAAGGAAACTAGAAGCAACATTACATTATAAGGAAAATCCTGAGAACTCAGATTGTGTCAAGAGGGAGGCCAAAATGAATTAACAAGAATTAAAAAGACTACAGAGGACTTTTACTTTCCGCAAACACCACATGAGACAAGAGGAAAGTCTAAGCAAGTTAGTTAATACCGATTCCATGACAGAAGAAAAAAAACCAGAAAACTACTTTGTGTAGAATGAAATTCTAAATTTCTTCTTTGCTTTAGTTTGCAACCAAAAAAGTAACCAAGAACAAGTCTCTTAGGTCAAAAGAATTATGTAAAATAAACATTAGAAAATGCTTATAGCTTTCTAACTTGGGCCCGGCATAATGGCTCCCACAAAGAAGGGTGGCGAGAAGAAGGGCCGTTCTGCCATCAACAAGGTAGTGACCAGAAAGTACACCATCAACATGCACAAGC